AATATGACTCAAATTATTTACTACTGAAATAAGTCTAGCATTTGATCTGAGAAAAGGGACAAGAAATTATGGGAAGAAGGAGGATGCACATGCTTTAGAAAATATAAGACTCAAAAACCATGCATTGTAGGCTGAATCTTACACAATCTATGAGCATTTAATCCACCTAACCTAACCTGACATCGTATTAACCTATTTTATTCTATCAATTATTACACTCCCCATATAACAACAGTCAACTAAAGTACTAAAAGTCAGACAGTCCGTCAATTATTTTTTGCAATCCAGTTTCCTGGAAACCAAGTATTCCTGATACCTTGCTGACATTTAAGCAACACCATGTAATTTTAAAGCCATTCAGACATGTAAATTGCCGCTATATGAGTTTTTGATCAAGTTTAATGTCAATATAATGAATCATTCTTGTTATGCAGTACATTTTCATGTCCCCATCATATACAATGTTGGATAAAATAAAGTCAACCTATAAAGATGCAAATCATATTGTTTTTTTTTCACAATATCACAATTAAGTAAACGGGTGAATATGAAATAATTTCACTATTTTGGTTTAAGATGTGATATTTTTTTAAATAAACTCTAAAAATTGCATTTTATTAAGATTATTATGTACATTTTCTTAAAATAAAATATTTCAAGTAAAACTCTTTATTATATATACAATATTATTTAACTGGTGATCAATTCATATTGTTTCCCTGTATTCTTAATTTCACTTTCCAAAGTCTTTTGTAAAAGTGCCAGTTCCTCAATGACATCATCCTTCACAAAGTGGCATTATTGTTTTGGTGGAAAAACATTCGCACAAACATCAGTTTCCAGTGAATCTTACCTCTCCGTCTGAGTCCAGTGTCCACACTCCTCAATGTGGCCTCTGGTGAGGTTGGGGACCTTCAGACAGAAACATACAAGACCAGCTTACATCAGGTCAGCTTGCATGGACAATGCTATAGTACGACATTACACATGCAATCTCGTACTGTGTTTATGTAAAGTATCGGAATAACTGTAATTTACGTCTACAGTATGTTAAACTCACAATTTTAAACTCGCCATAGACACTAATAATTTGTAAGGATGCTTAATTCCACCACAGAATAAAACTTTATTTTAACTTTATATCTCACAATTCTGACTTTTTTATTAGAATTTTGAGATATGAATTCTGAGAAAAAATTTCAAAATTGCGAAAAAAGTTTATCTCCCAATTCTAAGAAAAAAGTCAGAATTGTGACTTTTATTCTCACAATTTCAAGTTTATATCTTACAATTCGGACATTTTCTAAACTCACAAAAAAAGGTAATTGCGACTTTTCTCTCACAATTCTGACTTTTTTTTCCTCTCAATTGTTGATATATATTTCACAATTCTCACTATTCTTCTCAGAATTGCAAGTTTATATCTGAGAAAAAAATCTCTCGCAATTCTGAGAAAAAGGCAGAATTGCAAGAATAAATAAACTGACTTTTTTCTCACAATTACAAGTTTATATCATGCAATTCAGACTATTTTATCAGAACTGCGAAATATAAATTCGCAAAAACATAACCGCACCTACTCACAACTTACAATTGCGAGTTTATATCTCACAATACTAACTCTTCTTCTCAGAATTGAGAAGTTTATACCTCTAAGAAAAGTTTAGCTTACAATTCCGAGAAAAAAGTCAGAATTGCGAGACAACTTGCCGCTATATGAGTTTTTGATCAAGTTTAATGTCAATATAATGCATCATTCTTGTTATGCAGTACATTTTCATGTCCCCATCATATACAATGTTGGATAAAATAAAGTCAACCTATAAAGATGCAAATCATATTGGTTTTTTTTCACAATATCACAATTAAGTAAACATAGGGGTGAATATGAAATAATTTCACTATTTTGGTTTAAGATGTGATATTTTTTTAAATAAACTCTAAAAATTGCATTTTATTAAGATTTGAAGGCAGATGCACTGTCATGTACTTTTCAACTAATCAAATCAGTTTTGACGGTCTTAAGGAACTGACTAAAAATGCAACAAGATAAGGTATATAACATATTAGATTTTTGAAAATAATGTCAGAAGTGATATTTTAGTATCAGGCTTGATTGCATTTGCAGCATGAAACAACATTTAACAGCATCAATCAAATAATCTGCATCAGTATTTTTTAAAAGTGCAACTGATTTTAAAGAAGAACCGGTTACTGATTTCCATTCCATATAAAGACACATTTATGAGTGATGCAGCCAGAGCTAAAGCACTTCAGCTCATCATGGAGAAGCAGATGTTGGGGCAAAGGGAACAGGCACCATCTGCTCCGCTCAGGCTGCAGGACTGGGCTAGATGTGGTGTGGAATTGCTGGAATAAGCAACACTTGGGTATTTCTGACAGTGACGGTGTCAGAGAGCGGGAGCACGGTGAGGACACTTGCCTTGCCCCTCGGCCTGGAACACATCCAACGCCAGTTCCTCTCCCCGTTACGGTACCAGTTCAGAGGACCCCTGAGACAAAACCAGACCCTCAGTGACAACACACACACACATATATACACACAAAAGGATATATATGCAAAAAAATACAAAATATATTGTATATTATGTTTTTTGCATAAATAAAATTAAGTCACAAAGTATCAAATCTTAATGATCCTAATTATTTAATAATAAAAAAATTATTTTATCATCATACAAATCATACAGGTTTAAAATCAACATGATGATGTGTAAATTATGACAGATTTATTTATTTTTGGGTGAAATACTGTTATGAAGAGATTTAACAATTTTTTTTAATTTCCTTTTTTTTAATAACTTTCATTTTTATTTTAAAGCTAAACAAAATATAAAACACTTTTTGAAGAAATATGAAGCCACAGCACAACATGATTTAGTCTAGCAGGACATCTGCCTGGAACAACATCCTTTTGGACTTGAAACAACACTGATATCAATCAGAAAATCAGAAGGAAAGGATAGTTTGGTAAGACTTAAAAACTGCATGCCAAAAATGAAAATGTTGTTCCAGTAATAACATGTCCTACTTGAGTAAATCACGATGCATATGAATGCACATAAATAAGATGCACTTTTTGCCCATTTGCTCAGTGTACCTGAAGCCGCTCTTGGTGAACTGCTGAACATAGTAAGACAAAACCAGACCCTCAGTGACAACATGTCATCTATGCCTCGTGCATGAGCATGTATTAATTATCAGTGCCTCACGTTTAAAGGCATAGTTCACATAAACATTCTGTCATTTCAAACTCATGTGATTTCCTTTATTCTGTGGAAGAACAGACCACAAAAATAGTCCTAATTACTTTCAAAATATATTTGAAAAATAGCTTTGTGTGCGGAAAATCTCATCTGCACTTCTACATATTCATACTTGATGTAATACTTTCATTTACATGCAGAGATTCATCAAAACTATTGATCTAGCATAAAAAAATTGTGTGATCCTGTTGTGATCAAAATGCATGCATGCATTATATAACTGTGTGTGTGTGTGTGTGTGTGTGCAAACAATAAAACAAAATACATAAATACAAATATATTAAATATGAAATAAGAAATATTAAATACAGAACAAGTGTATATGCAAATATATAAAAAAATTATTTTATCATCATACAAATCATACAGGTTTAAAATCAACATGATGATGTGTAAATTATGACAGATTTATTTATTTTTGGGTGAAATACTGTTATGAAGAGATTTAACAATTTTTTTTAATTTCCTTTTTTTTAATAACTTTCATTTTTATTTTAAAGCTAAACAAAATATAAAACACTTTTTGAAGAAATATGAAGCCACAGCACAACATGATTTAGTCTAGCAGGACATCTGCCTGGAACAACATCCTTTTGGACTTGAAACAACACTGATATCAATCAGAAAATCAGAAGGAAAGGATAGTTTGGTAAGACTTAAAAACTGCATGCCAAAAATGAAAATGTTGTTCCAGTAATAACATGTCCTACTTGAGTAAATCACGATGCATATGAATGCACATAAATAAGATGCACTTTTTGCCCATTTGCTCAGTGTACCTGAAGCCGCTCTTGGTGAACTGCTGAACATAGTATTCCAGCGCAGACTCGCTGAGAATAGCACTGCGGGGTGGATCATCCAGTGACGCCACAAACAATCCACCTGATAAACAAAAGAGCAGACAAGGAAAACAAAACGATAAGGCCAGTGCAGTCATGCAGTCTTTTGAGGCTCGGAGCACAAGCGGTTTGTACCGTTCTTCTCGAGTGTGACTCAAATCACACATGCATTCATTCTTCAATACAAAACACTGAACTAAATCAGAAGCTGACTGCATAAAAGAAGCTATTTGAATTGCTGAAGCTAATGATGCTGCCAATCATTCTCTATTGTTCATCAAATAATGAAAAGCAGAAAAAAAACGTTCTTACCTCTCTGGCAGACTCCTGCGGTGCTAGGAAATGATTTCTGCAGATTATAATAAGATGTTTTAGGTGGTTGCCAGTGTTATTCTAGTATTATTTATATACTATTATAGTATTTAATAATATTTTGAATTAGCTGTTTTATATTTTCAGTTTTCAATTTTAATTTTGTTTAAAAATGTTGTCATTTTTATTCATTTTTTTATATTTCTTTTTATGTTCAATTTTTATATTTCAGGTTTAGTTTTAGTAGTTTTAGTACTTCAACTTAAGCAAAATTAAATAGAAATGTTGCCAATGGTGACTAAAATAAATAAATAAATACAAGAAAAATATATACAATGAAATATAACAATGAAACCTAATTAAAAATATTAATAAATAACAGTCTGTTTTATTGAATAGTTTGAATTAGCTTATATTTTTATATTTTCAGTTTTTTAATTTTAGTTGAAGTTTACTAATGTTTGTTTTTTAATTAATTAATTTCTGTTTATCTTTAGAAATGTTGCCTTTGCAACTAACTGAAATTAAAAAAAACGGAATAATGTAAAAATAAAAGCTAATTCAAAAATATTAATTATTACAATCATTTTAGTTTAAAAATGTATTAATATTATTTAATATTTTGAATGAGCTTTTATTTTTATACATGTAGTTTATATTGTCGTTTTAGTAATTTTATGTACTTTTATGTTTTATATTTTGTTTTTTAGTTCTGTTTACCTTTCATTTTTATTTCAGTTTCAGTTTAGTAATTTTAGTAATTCATCTTAAAAATGTTAAATTTAGCTTTGGCAACTAACTGAAAAAAAGTTGAAGTCATCTAATATTTCTGCTTTATTTATTTCAATTTACAAAAATGCATTTGCTAATGTATTCTGTTTTTTAGCACATTGCTATGTGATCTCTACTGTGTTTCTCTATGACAGTCTGGTTATTAAATATAGTTCAGGTCAGATTTTTTCATACAGTCCTTCCTTTGTAATAAGAGCCTACAAGTCCTTTCCTTTTTAAAAGGTGCTGCTATGTAGTAAGGATGTGAATTACACCTCAAAAAATGTGCAGCTGGTTGGGGAAATCTGTGCTATTATTTTTCCAAGCGATCAGACTTACAATTTTCACCTGGCAGACCATAAAATTGGCTTAAAAAGTCCCAGAATCACATATAATGAGACCAGAATATCACAGAGACTAAAGATGATTAAGATGCAGGTAGCCACACGCTCATTAAGATGCAGCGTGTGGCTACCTGAGGCTGAGCGATGGCCTGCCGTTTGTGATTCATTAGTCCAGGATCAGAGTCCCAGATGGGAGCCCTTTAAGTGGCCCTCGTTATGATGCCGGGTCATTCAGCACCAACCGCACGCCTCGACTCTTTGATCTCCATCAGCCCTGGCTTTTTGATGCCGGCGATAAGCAATGTAAATATCTAACAGATAACCGTGTCACTTCAGATGAAGGGAGAATTATACTCATGCATAAGGTTCCTGCTCTGTCAAGATGTTTGCTAGTGCAACATGAATTATAACAACATTATTGAACGACTTTTTAAACTGCATGCATGATCATGATCTTGAGGAAATCTTGGTCATCTATTAAATTCATAAATACTCACAAGTGACTTTTAAAGAATCATTTAACACATTAAAAGCCTGCCGTTTGTGATTCATTAGTCCAGGATCAGAGTCCCGGATGGGAGCCCTTTAAGTGGCCCTCATTATGATGCCGGGTCATTCAGCACCAACCGCACGCCTCGACTCTTTGATCTCCATCAGCACTGGCTTTTTGATGCCGGCGATAAGCAATGTAAATATCTAACAGATAACCGTGTCACTTCAGATGAAGGGAGAATTATACTCATGCATAAGGTTCCTGCTCTGTCAAGATGTTTGCTAGTGCAACATGAATTATAACAACATTATTGAACGACTTTTTAAACTGCATGCATGATCATGATCTTGAGGAAATCTTGGTCATCTATTAAATTCATAAATACTCACAAGTGACTTTTAAAGAATCATTTAACACATTAAAAATACTACTGACACAAAGCTATCATAATGCTTTAGAAAACATGAAATATAGTGCAAATGTCTTATATACCAAAACCCTTTTATGGTGTTTTTCCCATTCTGAGCTTGACAGACAAGGTCAATATGAACTGTCTTTGTATGAAAAAAAGAGCTGTTTCTTTCTCAGCTTTGCATCTAACTCTAATGAAATTCATTTAATGAATGTAAAATTAAACTCAGAAAACTTACAGTTTCATTACTTGCAATGAACATCAGTTTGAAGGTTCGCTCAAGGTTTTTCTCCAGTTCAGCCTCTGCAACACCCTGATACAACAGAAATAAATATCAAATAAATAAATAATAAAAATACAGCAGTTTATTGTTAGTTAGATGTTAGCTTAGGTCCATTAAATAATATTACTTGATTACATATACATATATATAATTATTTTCTATTATTGTTGTTGTAATTATATTAACAAATAATATCTGATTTTAATCATGTAAAATGTTACCATATTACCAAAGTCTGGAGCCTTAAGTGGAACATTATTGTAACTTGTTACCCTATTAACAAATGTAATATATATATACGAAATTCTAATGTTAATATAATATATATAAAACATTTAAATATTACAATTAATATAATACAAAATCATATATTATAATCAATGTATAATAAAAAAAATATAATACATAATATTAATTATTATCTAAAAGTTGTATATATGTGTGTGTGTGTGTGTGTGTAAATGAACATAATTCAATATTGATAATCACTCACAGGCTTCTGGAAATAGATCTGGTAATCAAAGATCGGCACGGCCTTGAGTTTCTCCATTGGATTTGTTTTTGGATCCACAGGAAAAAGAGGTGTGTTGAGAGACGCCACGGCCCTGCATGTCAAAATAAAATGATTAACATGGGAAGAAAAAATGATGTCTGTTATGCACAGTGCACAGAAATGCACAAACTAAACCAACACTCATGACACTCTTGAATCATTTTGTTAATGATGCTCTCTGAAATGCAATACCTCACTCTCTCAGAATGGAACTGTGCCATGTTCCACACCAGAGCACCGCCCCAGTCATGACCCACCAGAATCACCTGTGGGATGCCCTGCGGAGCAGAAAGACAAAACTATAAACTCATCTTTGCAATAATGATCACACTACAAACAGGAAATGTTATGACATGGGAAATCATATTTCAGTCCAAAATCAAAAGAAATCTCAGAAATAATTTATACTATTTTAGGATTAAGATTTTTTTGTTTTTTACATAGTAACAAATGCATGTACTTTCATCATTATTTTTAATTAATCTATTATTTTAAATAGTTTTTCCTACATGATTCAAATTGCTGATGCAATAAACAAAAAAACCAAGGTATAAAACTACCTGAACTTCACAGTAACATTTCATGACATAGAAATTATATTTCAGTACAAAATCAAAAGAAAACTATGGAAAAGAAAACTATATATAGGCTACTATTTTTTCTGAATATGTTTTTCATTGTAACATTTGCATGTACTTTTATGATTCTTTTCAATTAAGCTCTTAATTTCACTTTTAAATAAATAAATAAATCTAATTGCTGAAGGCGATAAACAAATAAACAAACAAACCAAGGTCCACAACAACTAGATTAAGTAAATAAAAGCTTTGAATATTCATCCTTTATCCTTTGCAAAAACCTGTCCCCTTAAGTTACCGTTGCTACGTTCGACAAGCCATGCCACTCTCACACCAAACATCATGTTCTCATGCAGTGAAATATACATATCGCAGAACAGTGACAGACGAGACAGAGCAGGTTTCTTTTGGTATGAGACAAAGTGATTTTGTCATTTTTTAAAAGAAATTCCAACAATAAATACCATTTTGTGGCAGATCGCTGTAGCATCTCAGTTCAAGCGCATGTGAACCGATCATCTTTCCATATTTACTTCAAGCATGAAATAAACATGAATGAACATCAGAAGGTATCTTGTTTCAAATGCACACCATTTTTCAAGTTCAAGTCCACCGAGGTTAATCTACTCTCCTGTCTAGTTTGTTTGTCTGACAAAATGGCAGATTCGGCCTTATGATTGGTCAGATCGCCTGTCAATCAAACTCCCAGTGAAGGGTCACTTAACATCATTCTAAAACCAAGTCAAGGCAGTCTTGAAGAAACTGTCCTGGCCCAGTATCTGTTTGTCTCAATCCCATACACAGTCAAAAATTACAGATCACTTCCTCTAGCACAATGATTTGTGTTTCTCTCTGCCTTATTTACGTGATTAGACCACCAACTGTAGCAAGTAATTAGAAGATAATGACCTCTTTCACACCCTCCCACCCCGTTATACTGCCTGATGGGAAATAAACTCAACGCCACACACTAGTACTCACATAAGATTCTCATGCCTTACATGTCACATTGTTAAATTCTTAATTATGATTGGTTGCAAGGAGTTGCAAGGTGAATATATGTAAAATAAGTAAAATATATGACCAAAAGCATTTCATTTATAATAATTTAATTGCTTCAAAACAGGACGAAATCTCACTGCATGTCATTGACAAAGAACATGCTGAAAGAGACACCCATCTTATACACTACCGGTCAAAAGTTTGGGATCAGAACGATTTTTAATGTTTTTTTATAGGAGTTTCTTATGCTCATCAAGGCTGCATTTATTTGATAAAAAATACAGGAAAAAATGTAATATTGTGAAATATTATTATGATGTAAAATAACGTTTTTCTATTTTAATATACATTCAAATCTAGAAGAGTCTTCTTTAAAAAACATTACAAGTCTTACTGATCCCAAACTTTTGAACGCCAGTGTATATCTGCTGAGTTGAAGCATGTTTATCTAGTCTGGTCAAGACTGGTCATAACAAATGCATATATTTTGGGACAAATGCACTTAAATGTTGCACCACTCTTGTATTTTACTCCACTAACCAAATGCAAATCATGTGTTATCTGCACTGCAGAATCTGCTGGTCTAACTGTGGACCAACTAAATATGGATGAACAGACTTTCAAAAACAGTCCCTCATCCGTTTGAGGTCTCGACCTGTCAGTTCTGTTGCCACACATGGTTTTGTGATGCTTTTAATGAATCCGGAAAATAATGTGCAACGCCACCTTAACACTTCTCTGTCTTCTCACATTCATCCAAGCAGGAGTACCAATGAGAATCACAACAGATAAAACATTTTTATCATACAATCATTTGGCAAGTGATGTAGTATGTCCTGATAGCCTGAAAAAGGTCTGAAAAAACAAGAGCATTGTATTCTTATGAAATGGCTTGAAAAAGGGGAACTGCTCTAGAATCGATAGAATTTAGCTTCAGTACAGTGTGTCTGTTTAACACGTGGTACTATTTTGAGATGTGCAAAAGAGCAGAGAGAGATGGTTTGTCTGATAATGAACAACACTGAAAATGTACGAAAAATATCTCTACATTCAGACAAGGCTAAACCTAATTAATACAACCGCCAGGGTTAAAACATAATGTGTCCTGAAAACACATGCACCAGCATTTGACAATATGGTTACATTGGAGGACCATAAAGTAAAGATTCTGATATAAATAAATAAAATGCTGAGTCATTCACTTTATTCAAAAGAATCGGCTCATTCTTTCACGAATCACTGTTAATTTTGAATTCTTTCTTAATTCAGACTGCAAACTCATAACTCAGCTAAAATATCATTCCTTCTGCCACAGCACTATAGATTTGGCACAAGAAACAGTATATTTTAGTTCTTTGTTCTGTCTGCAATGCAAAAGCATGCAAATGCTCAAAAACTGCTAATGAAACATCATGGAAATCATTCGGTTGCAGTATTTCTTAAAGCAAACCTGTTAATAATAAGAAACTGTTCTTGAGTCCCAACACTAATTATATGTCTAACAAGACGGAGGCTAAAATATTAGCAATGCATCTTAAGTTTTTCAATATTATGCAATATCATAAATCAGCCGTTCAGTAATCCTGTAATTATATGCATGTGTGAAAGTAAAAAAACTGTACATACCATTTTATCCAAAAATGTCACCAGATCCTAAAAAGCCAAGAGAGGGATGACAAAATTGTATGCAACATTAATCAATTTTGCTATAAATTTACATGGATAAGTAAATTCACATGGATTAGTTTTAATTACCAGCATGATTTGTTCTTGAGAATACTCCTCAATCTCTGCATAAAAAGGTGGGAATAAAACAGTGCTTATTCTATGCTCTGTATCTTTTCATATGGCAATAATAACAAGATTTTTCAAATTATATACAGTATATGTATCAGCTTTAATGCACATATCAAAATAACATGTCAAATGTGTTTGAAAATGTAGTATTAAAAAATGTATAGTTTAACTTACAATTTGCAACAAGTTTAAATACTCCATTTATTGTTTCCACAAAATCTGCAATTTTCTGTCCTTGTTTGAATGCAGTACACTTTTAAAAATAAAGGTGCTTCACGATGCCATAATATAACCTTTTTTGTCTAAATGGTTCCATAAAGAACCTTTAACATCTGAAGAACTTTGTGTTTCACAAAAGGTTCTTTGTGGCGAAAGAAGGTTCTTCAGATTATAAAAAGGTAAGAAAGAGATGGTTCTTTAAAGAACCTTTGACTGAATGGTTCGTTGTGGAACCAAAAATGGTTCTTCTATGGCATCGCTGTAAAGAACCATTTAAGCACCTTTATTTTTAAGAGTGTAAAGCATGATGTAGCAGAAAACATCTGGCTCTTGTTTGCATTTTCTTCTGTCACTGGTCATGATTCTAACCTTTAAAATAAAGATTAGGCTTAAAATAATGTCTTGAGAATCATTCATACATGTTAAAATCATTTGAAAATTTAACAAATAGCTGTAATCTGACTCAGAGGAAGACAAGAATCATGTCTTTGTTTTTCAGTTTTTCTGCTGATTAAGGGATAATACCAGAATTCTTACAATAACCACCTTACAAATGGTTGTCAAAAGCAAAAATGCTACAATGCATCATATTTTGAGTCAGCAGTCCAATATTCATAAGAAACAAGTATTGGCTTTCATTCAGCAAATTTGATGCGGGCGGTTTAATAATAATAATAATAATAATAATAATAATAAACAGCAGTTATAAACCTTAATTAAAAGGTACTATATATTCGAGCATAAGGACATTTGATAAAACGTTTAATTAAAAAACCTTTAATGAAAAATGTCTTTAATTTTATTGCATTGTAATCATTTAAAGCAATAAGGCCTTGAGATCATGCTATATTGAAAATATATTCAAAATAAAGCACAGCCTCTCATAACTTATTGTTGAAAACATGCACTGTCACTCCACACACAGTTCTTTATGTAAACTTCAAATCCCATCACAGATGTGACCTGATGCACATGCTAAAGAGCAGTGTTGGGGGTAACTCATTACAAGTAATGCGAGTTACGTAATCAGATTACTTTTTTCAAGTAACTAGTAAAGTAACGCATTACTTTTTTAATTTACAAGAAAATATCTGAGTTACTTTTTCAAAAAAGTAATGCCTGTTACTTTGTTTTCCCATTTATTGACTGATAGCTCTCCTGTCCCCATATTGCGAGAAATCGGGAGTACAGAAGCGTTGTGTGCGCTGTGTGAACATGATGTTACTGTAGTTTTAGACTAAATGTGAATGTGCATTAATTCATCCCACTCACAAAAAAACAGATTTAGTATTCATCAAAATGAATTAAAACAGTGAAATGCAAACTCAGAATGACGCAAACCTGCAATAATTAAATATGTTAAATAACACAAATGTATCTAATCCCATTTTATTAACCAATATCTTTGCTGCTGACCTTTGATGATCCAGTTCAACCATACTAATAAGCAAAAATGACTTTAGAGAAACTAACAATTGTGCTTTGTTTTTTTTATTGCTGAAGAGTGTTTCTTCTCCTGCGTTCTACTGTACAGACGTGAATTTACTTTTGCTTCAGCCTGAGGTTTATTCTCTACACTTTTTGGTGTGAAAGGGCTTTTATATTTGCTATAAATAGAACTTCTTATATTAAAAACAATCAAGCCCTGCTTATATTTAAAAAGTAACGCGAAAGTAACGCAAAAGTAATATAACGCATTACTTTCCATAAAAAGTAACTAAGTAACGTAATTGGTTACTTTTTTAGGGAGTAACGCAATATTGTAATGCATTACTTTTAAAAGTAACTTTCCCCAACACTGCTAAAGAGCAGTGTTTCTCATTTTCATTCTCAGCATGATGCCACAGCGATCACAGGGGAACTGGAGTGCCTGGAATCCCTTCGGGCATTTATTTCAGTTACCTGGAAATTCATGCTGCTTTTAAAGCTAAAGCATGACATTTGAGCAAGCAACGCACACACACACGTTTAAAACAGCCTGGAATCCCTTCGGGCATTTATTTCAGTTACCTGGAAATTCATGCTGCTTTTAAAGCTAAAGCATGACATTTGAGCAAGCAACGCACACACACACACACACACACGTTTAAAACAAACTCTCGGCAGCAGTTTTTAGGTCTCTCACTCATGCCTTGACTTGAGGATAATTCACATATGTAATGGCTATTGAACAGGCTTTAATGCTATTGCAAACAAAGTCAAAGCATCCTGTTCTGCAAACTTGCCAATAGTAATGAAAGTTACTGTTGGTCATCTTAAAAACGTAGCTGACGTCAAAGGGAAAAAAAACAAGCTGTTTTCAAAATATAACTAAAGGAACTATAAATGTTCCTTTAGTTGAAGTAACCTATTATACATAACTACTTATGTTTATAAGGCAATACAATTTCCAGACGGAATTTCTCATATACTGTATCTTAAAGGGGTCATATGATGCGATTTCAAGTTTTCCTTTCTCTTTGATCACAGGATGCAATTAAAAAAAAACATGTTAACACGTTACCTTGACAACTTCCTGGGAAAGACTATGTATTTTTAATTTACAATGAGCAAAAATGAAGTATCCATCTAAAAAACAACCTATGCACTGATTCTGTGGATTGCAATTAGTTGTCATAGGTTAAGAATCTATCTTATGAAACACAACTAAGGGGTTTTTATATTTCACTTTGGGCTTTTTAATCCCAGGTTAAGGCCATTTTTAACCCTGTGTTTAGCAATGCCATTTCATTTTTCATTTTGAAAGGGGACTAACACTGCTTTTAACAAGTGCAGTATTTAAAGTCATGTTGAAATGCAAGTAGACAGATCTTTTCTGCCATATTGTGACGTACATCTGAGTATCACAAATGTATGGCCTGGACTTGGTTCTATGCATCAGTTGTCGATCAGATTTTAATATGTTGCCATTGCATTCAAAATTGGAGGCAGATGAACGCAAGCTTGCAGGAGTGAGTTTTAATGACTAAATGACTGGACTAAATGACTGGAGACGTCCTACATATGTCACCACAGAGAAGTCTGCCATTTTCACTTAAAGGTCCAGTTATGACATTTTGATTAAACATTTTGAGGTATGTCAAAACATTTAAAAATGCAACATGCACAGATGAATTGTTCACAATAAGATCTATAGCATGCATAGATAGAGTAGAATATAGCTGGTGTGAACAGAATGCATTAACACTCAAGTCACAGAGTAAGTGACACCTTCTTGTGCTTTCACAACAATGCAAAAAGCCACTTGCCAAAACCTTCACCCTCTCTGTTCCTCTCTGGTGCAACGAGCTGCCAACATCCACCCGAACTGCTGAAACAATCACATCTTTCAAGAAGCAGCTGAAGACCTCTTTTGTAACCACCCCACAATCTCGAACCAAAGCACTTATACGCTTACAAAAAATTCTCCTCTTCTCTAGCTTGCTTCCTAATCTAGTTGTCAACCAAGCCTGGCATTGTATATTATGCATATTGTTGGCTTCTTGATGAAGTACGTTTGTTCCTCTTTGCTTTTGTTCCTCTTTAATTAATCGCTTTTGGATAAAAGCATGTAAATGTAATGTAAAAGAAAAAACAATACTGTATATAATTATAACTGACCTGGTGGAGCAGTGGAGTCACCGTAACCTTTCATGTCAAGAGCTAGAACCCTGAATCCAGCATTGGCCAAAGCCGGAATCTGATGAGAAACAATAAACAAAAACAATAACACCTGAAGGACATAGTACTTGAGTGGCACTTGTGTTCTAAGTGGTTGCCAGGGCATTGCTATGCGGTTGCTAAGGTGTTCCGAGTGTTATTAATGCATTGCTACCAAGTTGATAGGGTGTTAGGTTATTTCTTACTGACTCAAAGAAACCATCCCAAGGTCTCTATGATAGGTTTTGTTCAAACCCCTAATCCCAAGTGAGAGATATATTAATAATAAGCACTAAAGTGCCACAGAAGGGTGATTTAGAATGGTTAAAAAAAACTCTTGCATTACACTATGGCATCTTTTCACATTTCCAGGGATCTCAGACGCACAAGTCATCATAGTTGGGTAAACTTCACTACAAGAAATTATTTTTTGCATTTCCATTTGCTCCAAAAGCAAAAAACAAACAAAAACAAAACATTAACGTTTCTATGATTTTCCAAAAGAGTAAAACATATAGAGAGATTGATTACGATGGTCAGAAGAGAAAAAGATATGAAATTTGCCATCACTAGAAACACTCACTCAGCAGCATTAACCAATTTTCTGTAATTTAATACCAAAGTAATAAAACACAAGAGTACAGAGTTATAAATATACATTAAATCTTTTAAAAATTAAACTACAAAAAAGTTGCTAGATTACATAATATAACTCATTGTGTCATCACAGTCTGTGAAAAGGGTCCATTCTTCTTTTCATTATCCAAAGCAACTTGCATTTTTCCAAGTCCCCTGGAGCCGTATTCAAAGGTATAATAGTGAAAGCTCATGAATCACCGCTTTTGGCGTTTAAACCCAACACCCGTGGGTTACCAGCCCTGATCTTTAACCACTAAGCTATGAGACTCACAATAACCTCACTGCCTTCAAAGGCCTAAATTCCGGTTGCATCAGCTGAAAGATTTGAGGTTCCTCACCTGATACCTCCAGGAAAACCAACTCTCAGGGAAGCCATGGCACAGGAGAACAGGCGGTCCGTCTCCCAAGTCCACATAGTGGATCCTCACGCCAGGCTGAAAAACAGAGGAACACACTTTTTATGACCCTTGCTAAAAATAACACACTTCCAGTGAACTTTGGCACAATTAAAACAGAGATAAGCATTATAAATTACCTTAATATTCACATATCCATGAGAGACATTTTCAGGATCACAAGAGGGTGGCTGGAGATCACCGGTGACCTGTCAAGTTATCCATTAAAACCATTAAATGAAAAAGGTCATTTGTTTTTTTCCCACTGTAAATTATAAGATGACTTGTTCTTTTTAACTACCAAAAACTGTAAATTTAACAGTATTACAGTTACAGTTTTATTACCGTTATTATATATAATAAGGGAACCTGCTGTTAACCAATTAACTGTTTTTTACTGTAGCATTTTTGCAGTCTTTTACCATTAATTTTTTTTTACAGTGTATCAATGGAATTACGAATTTCAGTAATTCCTCACCTCTATTTCTGTAAGCTTCTGGATTTCCTTAAGAGCCTCAGTGATGTCCTTGACTTGAACAGCCGTCATTCCCAAACCTTCAGCTGCCTTGATACTTTCTTCATCCACATCCAGCCAGACTGCCTTAAACAAGCAAATTATATGAGCATTTGGTTACATCCTTAACTAGCAGCTTTTGAATCCGCTCTTTCCAATTGGAGAACTTCTGAAATTATTTACTGCTCTTACTTCTTGAGGTTTAAGCGCAAGTTTTTCAAGGGCACTGGTAAAGATGTCTAGCTCTGGGATTCTGACACCGGCATAGCAAGATCTCACAACTAGGTTGAAATGGCTTTCCAATACAGAGAGAATCCTAGCGACACCGTCTCTCTGATCAGTGTCATCCACCCAGATATTGGCCAGGACGCATGTAGAGATGCCTTAAAGGAAAAGTTCACCCAAAAATTTTAATTTGCTGAGAATTGAGTCACCATCAGACCATCCCAGATCCCAGAAATGAGTTTGCTTCTTCACCGGAAAAAAAAATTGGAGAAATGTAGCATTACATCGCTTGCTCACCAATGGATCCTCAGCAGTGAATGGGTGCCGTCAAAACGAGAGTCCAAACAGCTGATAAAAACATCATTTTATTTTCTTTTATTCAAAACTAACAAGTCTCTGGGCAAAAAGGAAACACAGGGCAGAAAACATTACACGACTTGTAAGTTACTTGCATGCCACTTCTGCCAGGACAAATACACACAATGTTTACAGTACAAAGTTCATTGCGCAATGCTGTCATAAAGTTGAATTCGGTGAACTGTTATGTTTACCTGATGTGCGGATTCTGATTTCTGGACGCAGGAAGATCGCTGTACAGTTACCGCAGTACAATTAGTAACTTGTAAACTAATGCTGTAAGGACTGGCACTGCCAGAGTTTCAGCTTAAATACTACGAGTTCTACTATGACAGTAGGGCTGGGAATCGATTCCAAAAAGAATCGATTCCGAGGCGTTGGGAATCGAGAGTCGATTCCATCAAGAGGAATCGACTCCTCATTCAGAGCCTTTTTCAGTTCAACAAAGCTTATCTCTGGGTGCCTCTCAAACGGAAGGCTGCACGCATTTAAATTCACGATAATAAACTGAAAGAAAACGTGTCCGAACTGAGATCATCTGAATTTTAGGATGCAGCCTTCCGTTTGAGAAGCACCATTCACCTCCCTCATGCTCGCTAAAAGCCGTAATTACGAGTTTTTAGATAAAAGAGTTGTGAGATAAAATATTATTTTTATATTTTTATTACCATTCGCCTCCCTCATGCTCGCTAAAAGTGATTGGAATTCTGATTAGTTTCCTGAATCGGATAGATAGTTTTAATGAACCAGTTCAAAAAAACGATTCAGGGGTTGATTCCCATCAACTCCAGAACCAGGAATCGAAATCGAACAGCCCTAGTGCTTGCCGCGCGTCTACATTTGAAATAACGAACCTGAGCGCGCAAAAGACGTGATGGGACCGGCGATGTAATGTGCGGGGCTCCGTTTTTATGATGAGAGGAGAGGAAAGGTTGAGAAAACACTCCA